AATTCATTCTCTGGGTGTGATTAAAATGAGCAATAAATTCCTGGTGAGTCTCGGTGGAGTGAGGATCGGGAGAGGAGATTCGAAGGCTGGCACGCGCGTCCCCCTCAGCTGAATATTCATCATGGGAGAGCTCCCCATATTTTTGTTTTATCTGCCATCATGTGCATGGAGATATATTTCTACTTCTCTTTCGTCTCTTAGTTAGGACATGAAAATGGTGTGGCGTTAAGTATTAAACTCTCCATCTATTGAAATTGTTCAAAGTGAGACTCAGGCTACCTCCTCTATGAAGCCTGCCAGCTCATTCTACCAGGAGGAGGGCGAGCCATGCTTTCCTGGAGCCCCCACCAACTCTGTGCAGACCCCTCCTAAGCACTAGTCAGTCTCATCGCTTCTCGGCCTTTTGGCTAAGATCAAGTGTAGCACTAGTCAGTCTGCATGTTCAGAGCTGAGAGCACCGGCCGCTGCCACGTTTGGGTCTTCTCTGCAAGACCAAGGAGATTTTTGACTCACTACACAGCAAAAGAACTGAGGAAACCCCAGTGAAGGGAAAACCATTCAGGCCACTTCCGGTGATAAAGATTCTCAGAGTAAGTGACCCATTTTAAGTTGCAGAATGAAATAAAAAATTAGGCTTATGGATAATTTTTAAATGGAAAAATTACGTATACTATTAAGTGAAAAAAAGCAGATTCCAATGTAGAACATGATCATAACTAAAAGCTTTCAGGGCCAAGCAACAAACACAAATGCCTGGCAAGCAAGTAGAGAACATGGCTGGAGAGTACATACCCTCAACCCTCATTTTTGGAAAACTCTGGGTGGGTAGAGTAAGACATGGCTGCTAGCTGCCAGTTTGAGACTTCCAATACATATAGCAGGCTACCTACAGTTTTAAACAAAAAGGACATCAATATAAAGGTATGTGATATGGTCCAGAGAGAGCTAATACATTAAGTACCACAAGAGTAGATCTCCACTTAAAATTATTATTATTATTATTTTTTGGTACCAGGGATCGAACCTGGGTCCTCAGGTTGCAAGGCAGGTGGTGGAACCACTGAGCTAAATCCCTAGCCCTCCACTTAAAATTCTAATAGGCTGTTTAACAACTTGATTTTTCCTTTTTTGTTGCTCTGGTACCGGGGAGTGAATGTAGGGCCTTTGCACTGGGCTATATATTTTTAGACAAGGCCTTTCTGAGTCCCTCAGTCTGGTAGGACTGGAATGTTTTTACTTGAGATTCAACTCAGTTGCTATCTCTTCCAGGGAGCCTTCCTTGATCAGTCACACCACTGATCAACCGTGGTGTCATGGTTCACTTGTCTGTCTCCCTACCAGACTGTGAGCTCCTGGACTGTCTTACTCATCTGTCTTCTCCCCATCTAACCCAGAGCCTGGCACCCAGATGTCATTCATTAATGTGTAGCACATTATTCAATTCTCCTCATCTTACTGTTCTTTATTTCTAAATCTTCTATGATGAGATATATGACATTAATATTCACAAATTTTCAATAACCAGCATAATCAAACTAGAGGGTGGTAAGTGATGGCAGAAGAGGCTAAGCTGGGAAGCTGGGGGTGTGACAGGGACAGGAGAACCAGACAAGATCAGAGTGGCAGTAACTCACGTCTAGACAAAGCCAAAAGAGGTCTCAGGCTGGAGCCTTGATGCCTGCCATGCCTGATTCACTGTTACAGATGCAGGGGCGGCTGCTTCTTACTGCTGTAAGACGACAGAATCCAGGTTTGAAACTGTTCTTTCCACAAAAGCCTGCCTTAAAGAGGTAGCTTGTGTAGCTTGGTGGTAAAAAGAGCAGAAAGAATGGGAGAACAAGTTATGTTGAACAACTGAGAAAGACCATGTGGTTGATACTCAGGGAGAGCTGAGGTGGTTCATACAGGCAAAAACCCAGTGAGGACAGCAGAGCAATTAGGTGCAGATACTAAGGGGACCATTGGACATTGAGGACAGAGGAAGAAATCCTGACTATCTGAAGGGATCAAGAGCACAGAGGTGACAACAGATGAAATGGTGTTCCAGCTGAGGGGTTATAGAGTCCTTGGCTGGCTTGCAGTGATCCTCCAGCCTCTAAAGGCAGCCCCTTCCACTGAGGGCTAGTTTGGTTAGGGCTGCGATCCAGTAAGCCTGGCTCAGTTCGAGCATTGCCACTGAGTATACCTCTTTTCCTCTCATGTAGAGCCTCTCCTCTCCAGGCCAGATGCCTGTTGTCTTCTCCAGCTTTTTCTTCTGGCACTATATTGATCTCGTCACCCTACTGCCCAACCTGACACAGATTCAAAGAGCTCAATGTTTACTTATAAGGTGTAATCAAAAAAATATGATGGAAGTTTAAACTAAAGAAAAAAAATATATTACAGTAAAAGACATTGGCATTAATCCCCCTCAAAATACTCCCCCTCACTTTGAACACACTTATCTCATTGTCTTGCCACTTTCTGAAGCTGTTCTGAAAGTCCTCTTCCATGAATGTCTTTAGTTGCACTGTTGTGGCTGCCTCAGTGTCCTGAATTGATTCAAAACATTTACCTTTCATTTTCTTTTGACTTTGAGGAAGACCCAGAAGTCGCAGTGTCAGATCCAGTGACTAAGGTGGATAAGGACACACTGTCATGCTTTTATTTGACAGAAATTGCTGTAAATGTAATTGTAAACTGCTTCAGAAAGTGGCAAGAATGATAGGCTAAGTGTTCAAAGAGAGGGGGAGTGTTTTGAGGGGGATTAATAGCAATGTGTTTTCTACTGTAATAATTTAAAAAATTTAAATGTTAACTATAATATTTGATCACATCTCACAGAATATGTCATCTGTAATAGCCCTTTGTGCTCCAGAAAGCTCTGACTCACACAGGGCCTTGCAACTACATCTGTTCACCATAGACATTAGTTTTGTGATAATGTGGCCAATATCAAGCCACTTTCCTTGGGCAGCCAAATTTTTTTAAGTGTCCCTCAGCAGCCCTTAACCCCTTCACTTGTGCTGGTACCAAGAGATCTGTCCTCTTGCTTAACACAGAAGCTAGCACCGGCTCTATGTCACACCATCTGATGAATTATGAGTACTCCTGGCCAAGTCCAGTACTTGTCTCTGAGGGAGAGCAGCTGAGCATAATGGGAGATGGCTATTTGAAACTGCCAGAGATTTCCTCAAGTCACCTGGAAAAGCCGACCTGACTTTCAGGACTATATTCATAGGGCTGTAGAGGGCCAGAGATTTAGCTCAGTGGTTCCGCCACCTGTCTCGCAAGCACAAGAATCCGAGTTCGATCCCCGGTACCAAAAAAAAAAAGTTAAACATAGGGCTGTAGGATCTGAATAAAGGTGGTGGAAAAGCACTTTGAGGTGATTACCAAATTTCCACCTTCCTCTTCTAGGCTCATGGTGGGATTACTTTTCTTGGTCCCCTTGTGATTGGGTAAGATCAAGGAAATAGTTCTGCCCAGTGAATTGTGAGAAGTAAAAAGTTCTATTTTTAGGTTGAACATTTACTTACAGAATTAAGCCCCTTCTGAGCATTCTTTTCCCTCTGACAAACAACCAGCAATATTCCACAGGTGGCTGCTCTGCCAGTCAGGATCCCTGAATACTTGTGATAAACAGTCTGCTGGTTGTTACAGCAGCATAATCTAGTTTATTCTGACTAATACACAGACAACTATACATTGAACTGGACTTTAGAAACCACTGAGCTTAAAAAAAAAAAAAGAAAAAAAAGAAACCACTGATCTTCAATGAATGAAAGTACCAGCCTGAGGTCTTGGAGCTAGGATCAGAATCCAGGTCTCTCCAGTCTCAGTCCAGTGAACTAAGTACTCTGGCTAAAAATAGAATATTTGCCACTAGGTGGGACCTGCCCCACTGAATCACCTCAGGGCACTTCAGCCAATTTGTGGACGAGACACTCCATGATCTGGAGTATAAGACTTCTAATACTCAGAAGCCAGGTTGCTCAGGCCTAGTCTTGCCACGGAATCTACCACATGACCTTGTCAAGCTTATTAATTTCAGTTTTGATGCTTACACTGGGACCAAAGGCAAGCCAAATAACACCCCTGGGCTCCAATTCCTTCAGGAGTAAAATGAATCAGTTGACTTAAGTTTCAGAGATTTAAAACTCATGTTCTCTACAGGGAAGGAGAGAAGGCTGTCCACAATGGGCAGTGCTCTAGGCTATCTTCCTTTCAACCAGAACAACTCCATTTCCTTCTGATTTATTTGTTTATGCTTTTGTAAGATTTCCCTTCACTGGACCTGAAGACTTCTCAGGCCCCTGGCAGCTCTGAGATTTGTGATTCTAGTTCTTGGATTCTGCCCAGTTGTTCCTGAGTTACAATTCTGTGGCAAGGGGAAGTAGAAGACTTGGTCTGTTTTCAGAGTTTAAAAGTTTGACTGAGAAGATCAAATTAAGACAGAGATTTTTTGGGGGGCTCAGATTTGGTACCAGATTTTGGTGTGTATATGCGTGTGGGGGTTCTGGAAGGAGTAATTTTGAGAAAGAATGCCTAATGAAGCTGCACAGTACATGAGGCCTAGGAAATACTCTTTGAGCTCAAGATTTCATTTGGCTAGTCCCTTTCTCTGAAAAGAAGCTGGGAGGCCATGACCTCAAAACTGAATTGGAAAGTAAATTCTCAGAAGCCCAAAGTGGCCAAGCCTCTTCCCTATCCCTGGTCACAAGAAGGGCTGATCAAACTAAGTGCTGGATTTGCTTTTTTTTAAGACAGGGTCTCCCTATATAGTTCAGACTGGCCTTGAACTATGTATCCCAGGCTGGCCTTGAACTTGCTGCCTCAGCCTCCTGAGTGCTGGGATTACAAGTGTCTGCCTCCATGCCCAGCTCTGGATTTGTATTTAAACAGACAACAATCACCCAAGGAGAAGTACTGTCATTGGGTATGGAGTCAGACCTAATTTAATGAGTGAAACACTAAATGATACATGGAGTGTCCAGAGGCTTCTTTTCTCTGAGACTCACCTTGGCCTCTGAAGTCCTCAGAAGCTTCATCACTTCCCCTTCTCGGGCATAATCCAACGGTGTGTGTCCCATTTCATTCCTCTGCAGGGGGTTGGCTCCTGGAGGAGGAGAATGAACAGTCAGGGCTTCTACAGTGACCAGTGGGACCTCAGCCTTTGCTTACAGATATCTTGAGACCCTGATTTCAGCATGAGGAATGTCATGGAAACTTATGAGACTGTAGGATGGCAGGGAAAATAAGTTGGGGTACTTTGGAGAGAAAACTGTTGGTCCTCTCTGGCAGAGGTCAAGGCACTGGGGGTCCTACAGGTATACGCTCGTATGTGCAGTAATATACATTCCACATAGAGGTGCTACACAGGCAAATATGTATACACATAGCTGAACATGCTAAGAAAATATGTCCAAACAAATATCCATATTAACATAGTGCAAGTACATGTCAACATACAAATTCATATATGCATTCACTAAAATGTTCACATTTTCCAACCCACCTATAAACAGACAAGCATTCATTCACAAGGCCACTTAAAAAGGTTCCTTAAAGAATATTCTTCTCTCTCTCTGTCCCTTAGTGCTCTCCTATTTCTGGACATTTTCCACTAACCAGGATCAGCCGAGTCCTACGGACTCATAAGTGACCTGGCTCTGCCACCCTAGCTGTTGGTAAGTATGTGTATGTTGGTTTCCCCAGTGATTACTTCCTTGATTTGAGGACACAGAATTCCAAGTATGACAAAAAGAGGAAAACTGGGGACCATGTATTTACCCTCTGAGTGCTAGCAGCAGATAAGCCGTTATAAGTAAGGCCTGTGACACTGGAAGAAAGGCTCCTCTGACCTTTTGTGCTGCCAGAATCTCCTTCCTACAGCCCAGGCTTGAACAGCTCACTTCCCTCTTCAGACACTGTCCATTCCATTCCATTCTGGTAATTGTGAAGGAGTGGGGCATGGAATCAGATCTGGTCTTGCCCTAAAGGGATTCCGCTCAAGCAAAGAAAGCCAAAACCTAAGAAAGCCAAGCTTTATACACAACAAATGCTCAATAATGTGTTAAATCGAACAGCAAGGTAATAATTATCTAGCATTCCTTAAGCTGCATTTTGCTAGGGAAGTGTCCAGAAGTAAAGAGGGGTGAAGACCTAGCCTCTGCTATAAAGACAGGGCTGGGTGGGGACCTATTTAGCACAGAGCCAGGCTCAGGGTGGTGTCTAGCCAGTGTTTGTTGATGTTGATGGACAGTAAAAACCAGTGTTTCTAAATTCCAGCCTGTGGAAATATTTATATCATGATATAAAACTCTTCCTACTGAAAGTCTCTGCTGCTGCTGCTTTTTTTTTCCTTTTTGGCTTTTTGATACAGTATCTCATTATGTAGTTCAAGCTGGCCTTGAACTCACAGTGATACTGTCTTAGTGAAAGTCTGCTTCTCAAACAACCCTATAAACTTAACAATGGTAGTAAACATTTATTAAGCACTTGAAGCTATTAAGTTCAGGCTAGTTCAGGCTATCTGCCTGAGCAGCAGAGAAAGGAGGCCAAACCTCTACATGGGTGTGAGAGGAGGAGGGAGAAGGGGCAGAAAGTAGGAAGTACAATCCAGGCAAAGAAAACTTTTATATCAATAAGAAAAAATTAATACTTTTATATGCAGTCCTAGTTTCTATTAGGAATTTAGTATAAAATATTAGTATATCTCATTTTTATTAAGAAATATGCCATAAAATTAAGCTTTTAAAAATAATGCAATTCAGCGGTTTAAAAATATATTCACAAATTTTATGCAACTACCACCACTACCTAATTCTAGAACATTTTTCAATCCCCTGCAAAGAAACCCTGTTACGAGACACACCTCATCCCCCTAGCCCTGGCTACCAGTAGCTTCTCTATGTATCTGTCTATTCTGAATTTGCCTATTCTCCATATAAATGGAATCACACAATATGTGGCCTTTTGTGTCTGGCTTCTTTTGCTTAGCATGTTTTCAAGATTCACACATGTTGTAGTATGGCTGAATAACATTCCCTTCTGTGAACAGACTACATTTTGTTTACCCATCTATCAGCTGATGAAAATCTGGGCCATTTCTTCTTTTTGGCTGTTAAAAACACTGATGTACAGGGCCGGGGATTTAGCTCAGTGCCACAGCACCTGCCTCGAAAGCTCAAGGCCCCAAGTTCTTCAATGCCAGGTACCAAAAAACCCCCCCAAAACCAAAAAAACAAAACACTGATGTACAGTACGAGACTTGCGTAGATTTTTTTCTTTTTTGAGACAGGGTACTTGCTATGTTGCCCAGGCTGGCCTTGAACTCCTGGGCTCAAGCAATCCTCCTGATTCAGCCTTCTGAACACCTGGTGCTATAGTTGTGGACCACTGAGCCTGGCTCTGGATGTAAGTTTTTATTTCATTTATTTATTTATTTTTTTGGGTACTGGGGATCGAACTCGGGTCCTTGTGCTTGTGAGGCAAGCAGTGGAACCACTGAGCTAAATCCCCGGCCCTTTATTTTTATTTTATTTTTTGAGGGGTACCAGAGATCGAACTCAGGAGCTTGCACTTGCGGGGCAGGCGGCAGCACCACTGAGCTAAATCCCCGGCCCTGAAAGTAAGTTTTTAGTCTCTTGAGTAGATACCTGGGTGAAAACCGCAGCAACACTGGAATTCCTGAGCACTTACTATGTGCCAGGCACCATGCTCTGCACTTTGTGTACATTTTATCATTTCATCCTCACAACCACCTTGAGGGGTAGGAATTAAAATCCCAAACTACACATATGGAAACTGGGCTCAGAGAAGTGGAATGACTAGCTCAAGGCCAGAAAACTAGCTTTATTTGCTTGAACCAGGAGTCAATCAGGTTTTCCTAACTCCAATTCTCCACTCTCTTACCAGGGTGACCATGACACACCCCTGTGAAAAATCCTTCAGTGGTCTTTCAGTGCCTACAGAATAAAGTGCAGCCTCCTTAGTAAGACGGGCATCTCGGCAAGGAGATCTCCTAATGAATGGGCGATTCCTCAGAGGCTCAGCTGCAACTTCGATGTTTCTTTCAGATTTAGAGGCACTTCCTGAGCACTTCATGTACGCAGGATTCTGTATGCAGGATGAAGAGGACTGGGGAGGGCAATGAACTCTTTTTATATTTCTTGACAACTCGATGGCAACTGACACTTTGGCTGCTCTCTTCCAAGTTTTGTAAAACCATTTCTTGGGTCTTCCACCAACTCTTGTGACCAGACCTGCTTCTTTTTTTTTTGGTACCGGGGATCGAACTCAGGTCCTTGAGCTTGCAAGGCAAGCGACGGAACCGCTGAGCTACATCCCCAGCCCCTTCTGCTTCTTTGGTAGCTTCTTTTTCTGGCCTTTAAGATTAGGTCTGCCCAGCATAACTCCAGTTCTCCAGGAGCAGCGATGATAGATGAGCAGAGGGTAACAACAGTGGATGAGGGTAATTAGTGTGGAAGGAAGGACAGACAGCACTGTGGGTGCTCAGGAGGGGAGAGAGGCTCAGGGGCTTGTTTGCCTGGTGCAGCCTTCATAGCTCAGCCTTGTTCTCTCCACACCAGGTGGTGCAAAGGCAGAGGCAACAGTACCAGGGCATCCTCCCCTCCACAAAGCTCCTGCAGCACATCTCGGGCAAAGGGGGTCACAGTGAAGTGACAGAAAGGCCAATCCTTTCCCTGGCAACCTTGAGGGGAGCTCTGTTATGAGATACAGACCGGAGTGAAGGGGGGATTTGACAGTGATCTCTGGAGAGGAGAGAAGAGCAAAGAGAAGGGAGGAGAAATGGGAAGAGAGAAAGAAATGGGAGAGGGGAGGGGAGGGGGAGATGAGAGAGGAAGACAGTGGAAGAAAGAACAGAGGGTGAGATTAGCTGCTTCAAACAAGTGCTGTCAGTGATCTATATTTGCTTACAGAATGAAAAATGTGTGCCATAAACATTGGCCACTGAGTAATTTCTAGTAGGAGTCGTGTCACTTCTCATAAAGGATAGGATGGGGACAGGTAGGACATCTCTGCACCTGGGCCAGCTAGCACAGGGGCTCCTCTTAAAGCAGTGCTGGGCCTGTCTCCAGCCCAGGAGGCTCTCAGTTCAGCTACCCATGGTGGAGAAACCAGCGGGGCTCCCTAAGGTTCTAGAGCCTCAGGGCAGCATATCTGCCCCACTTTAGGAGACTGAGTCAGGGCACCATGGATAATGTCCATCTAATATTACTCCCCAGCTCCACACCCTCACTCTGACTTGACTAATTGCTGTAATAATTGATAGAACCTGACTTCCACCACTGATCGATTTCACCTCCACGACCAATGGCCACAAACCATTATACTCCAATAAATAACCACGTTGGACCTCACCCGGCTGCCCTCTCCAGGGGCATGAGGATGGCCCATGCCCTGGCCTGACCTCTCCTTGTCTCCCACCCAGGGGCCCTCCGGGCCAAGCAGCTGGTCTAGAGGGCCAGGCCTCTGGGAGCAAGTGAGAGAGTGAGAGGGCTGGACTGAGGTGGGAAGTACTAATCGCAGGCCATCCGTCACCTCCCACTGGCTGTCTGGGGCTGGGGCAAACACCTGGAGCACCCCAGGCAGTGTGGTGCAGGACCCCTCCCTTCTCTCCTGCTCCAGATTAGTGTGTCCCAGCTTATAATATTTGATAAATAGCAGACTGGCTTCCTGGCAGCACTGCTGCGGCTGTGCCTGCCTGCTACAGCTGTGGAAGGTCACTCATTGGGGAAATATGTTTCTGTCAGTGGTATTGAAAAAAGTTTAGTGGAGTGACAGGCCTCAATTTTTCAAATTTTATTAACTCCATCCTCTTAACCATTTGTCTTGAATTCCTTCAGATTCTGGGGGATCTGTCAATAGGGGCTGGACCAGGAAAGTAGGGCAGGGGAGTGGGTGGTGGTCACAGGGCTGGTGCTAGTTGGTGCCACTGTGGCTGGCTGGGTCTTACTGCCCAGGGTAGGTCAAGAGAGTGGAATTTGTGTTCAGAGAGAAGACCTGGCTCTCTGGTGCTCTGGGAGCCCACTGCTCTTCTGCTGCAGTGCCTGCTTCTGATTTGACACAATCACAGATGCTCCATGTGGAGAA